TCTCAAAAAACACAATTCATTGAATATGGAATTCAATTCCTTTAATCCACAAGTATTCACTCTCTAATATCAGAATTAAAATCTCTAAAACACAGATTTTGGAAATATGACTAATTTTGTTATGATAATCCATTGGTAATGATGTTCAAAAACACCTGTTTCCCAACAAGCAATGAGTAGACCTACTTGTGTTGTATCAGAATACTGGAGAGAACTACAGGAACAAATCCATTGTTTAAGACATTGAAAATCTATAGGAAATCTCGTAGGAACTTGGAGAAATCAAAATGTCTTTGTTTCCTTGGATTAAAACCAAGATAGCCACTTAAGAGATGACAGACAGTCTGAAATACCTTGTTAAAAGAAAAAAAATACTGATAGAAAAGAGTCCTTCCTTACTGGAATCACAGGTTTGAGATCTGAATACCTTTGAAGTTTCCAAACAACTACTCTGGTCTCTAATACCAGTCCTGGATTTGAGTGAAGCCAACCCCCTCATTCATGTATTGAACTATTGACCTTTCCATTCAAAAAGAACATGAACCTTTTAATCCATATTCTACCCACCCTAACTAGATGAACCACAATTAAGGTACTTCTGAACAGAATTCTAGAAGCAGAAAACAGTCATTAAGAGTGGCACGTTTTTGGTGTCCTATCCCACCTCCATCCCCCACCATCTCCACTGGGTAGGAACGCATTAATTTAACCAAATGAGCATGTGCCCGTCTGCAAACACATCCCCGGAGCTTCCTCTAGGTAAAGAAGCTCTTTATCAGTGTCTGGACTAGCAGAACTATAAATCAGCCACAAACACAACCTTCCTGCTGCTGCTAGTCCGGTTTCACCACACTATTCATGCTTCATGAGAACACGGTGCGTTCTAAGCCTGAGAAAACAAAAATCCATCTTACAGTCTGGGCAGGAGCAAAGCAGGGAATGCAAACTTGTCCAACTTCAAAGCCCAAGGCTTATCTTTCACTAACTAAATAGCCATCCCAGCAGGAGTGACAAGGAAAGCTTTCTTCCCTATTATTGTTCGAAACAATCACAGGCTATTTGTTCATATTAATTAGTTTATATCTAGTGTTAGGCAGCCTTGATGGGAAAAATGCTCTTTGTTACCAAATGAATAGAGGAACAAACAAAACCAAAAGCTTTTTTTTTTCTAATTGTTGTTTTTGCCTTAGCAGAGAATTTTTGCCTTAGCAGAGAAGGTCGGGCCTTTCACACTGGAGTGTGGGCTTATCTTTACACGGTCCCTGAATTCACGCTGAAAGAATGCAGGTTGGTGTGCCAGACAACACCAGGCTAGGCTGATTGAGTGGACTGCGTGTTATGCCTTGCCTAAGGAGAGGCTGTCTTTTAAATTATTTTCACCTTCTCTGAATTTGGGGGAAACTTGATCATCGGAGAGCTTGGGGGCAAGGACAAGTCAGTCTTGGACTAAAAGTGGACTGCACAAATTACCTGTGAAGAGTTGACATATAATCAGGAGGCCCGCCATCCACCAGAGGATCCTGGGAAACAAGTGCCAATGGTCGGCATCTCTCCAGAAGAATCAGCTGCCTCTGCCTGTGACCCAGTACCCCAGTTTACAGCTGACTCCTTCCAAGTGGGCTCGAGTTCCCCCAACCATCCGAGGCTACTATTGCTCCCAATATATGGTAAGAATAATGGGGCTCACTACCCTGGCTGAGATTAATTAATGAACACGTTCAACAAAATTATCTAAAGTCAGGATTTGAACCCACATCTAAGACTTAACAAGCTACACAGGCTTCTTCAAGATGAATGTTAAATTCCTTAATGTGGCTTGCAAGGCCCTGCAAAATCTTCTCCAACCTTGTAACCTAACCCATCTGCCTCTTCTACAATCAGAAGTATGCTGATAAATACATAACAATGGGCTCTTAGGAGCGAGGGACTGTGTTTGCCAATTTCCATGATGTAAACACTCCACCCTGGCTGATTTCAAGCTGTAAGCATGAAGTCAATGGGCTCACTCGATTCCTGGCAACTGGACAAGCAGATCATGTGAGCTGGCAGACCTGGCTCTAGCATGCCACTTCCAACTTCAGGCCCCAAAATACTGCAACGATCCTGAACTACCATGTAAATGCTGTGCTCCCCCTCACCTTGGGGCACTTGATGTTCACACATGCTATTTCCTCCTCCTTACCAGAATAACTCGCATTCACTCATGAGCTCCCAGCCTAGTGGTCTTCCTTCAAGAAGCCTTCCCTGATCGTCCAAGTCTTTCTCCGCCTTACTCCTAGAGCACCGGCTTCCTGTATCGTAGCATTTGTAACACAGCATCGTAACTTTTTGTTCCCTTATCTGTCTGTTTCCCACTACATCTCTAAGCTCTGGCAGGACGAAAGCATTGCTTGTCTTATTTATCCTTGTATCCCCAGCGCTTACTAAAGAGTAATACTGAGATGTATTGAGCAGTATGCGCCAGAAACTGTTCTGAGTTTTACGCAGATGATCTAATTTCATCTCTTAAACAACCCTATGAAGTTGGCTTTATTGTGATGATGCTCATTTTTCAGATGAGGAAGTGGAGGCAATGAGAGGGGGAAACCTTTCTCCCCACCCCCACTCCTACGTGCTCAGTTAATAAATGCTGGAGCTGGGAATTGAGCCCAGGCAGTATGACCGAAGAGCCCTGAGCATCCTTCTAGACCAGTATTTCTTGACTTTTTTTTCTCCACTGGTGACTCTCAAAGAGAATGTTTTCATTGCATTTAAATTCTCCCTAATGAGAGGAAATAAATACAACAGAATAAGGTTTCTTCAGGTAGGGTTAAGCTTTGGAGGGATTTTCCATTACCCAAGATCAAATTTTTGCCCTTTGACAATGTATGTTCTAGACCTTTCGCTATGCATTCACATTAACGTACCATATGTTTGTCCCTCAAAACATATGGTCTTAGTTTACAGTTTTAACGATATCTTCCTGTAAGCATTATTCTGCAGCAGATCCTTGGGGAGATACAGCTGTTAAGATATACAGGGGAGGGCAAAAGTAGGTTTACAGTTGTTCATACGGAAAATAATATAATAATTAATAAATAATAAACTGTTTTGTGTGCTCACAAAAAGTAGTAAAGCTACTTTTCCCATCCTGTATATTTATCATTTTTTAAGTGCTGCATGGTATTTAAGTCATATTAACATGCCTAAATTTAATAAGCCCTCCTACTATTATATATTCAGAAAGTTTTGTATTTCTTGGCCTTTGACTAAGGCTTCAAGGAATCTCTAAGCATATTTCCTTGGGCTCACCTGAGTGTTTTTCTAATGTAGGTACCAAGATGGGAACAGTGTATGCGCAAAGGTGTATAATTTTAATAGATACTGTCAAATTACCCCCCAGAGTGCCTATAGCAAGTTATCTTCCCACAGAGAATTTACAAGAGTTTCCCCAAGTGTTTATATTAAATATGACCTCTTTCTGCCTTGGGTGGTGTCACACATTTTAATTAAATGAGTCATTTAAAAATATTTATATTACTCACCAGCTGATAGTAGCTTGTGTAAGAAGGAAGGTGTGTGATAAGAAGATGCTGTTGGAAATGCTGACAAATGACAGAAGCAAGACCGGGATGCTGAGATCGTGTCCGGAAACCTTGTACAAGGGCCTGACTTCTCAGAGGCTGGGAGTCATTGCCTGGGAGTCATTGCCTGGGAGCAGTGTAGTGCACTTGGAAACGCTGACTCGGGCAACAGCACTAACTCACTGCTTAGGGGACTGGAACCCAGTCATCCAGTCAATGAAGTGTTGCAAAGACAATGATCCATTTACCAGAAGGAGAAATTCACATAATGGAGGTAACATTCACCATTCTGGAAAATAATACTAAACGCTTTAAAATGTTCAAGAACAGTAAAGACTTTATACATAAGATAACATTCCAAGGTGTTTTAGAGGATTAAAAAAAAAAAGCCTAATAAATAAAAATGCCCCTTTCTCCCACTCCTTCTTCCTTTCCCTCCCTCACATATACAAATGCCCCTCCTTGAAATACATACAAAATATAGCTTGTAAAAACAAAAAAAAAAAACAAAAACTGTGCAATGACTTTCTTTATCATCAAGAGTCAAATTTCAACCACCAAGGAAGGTATGCCTTTTTCTTTAACCTCGGCCTAAAAATGACTGTCATGCATGAGATGGGAGTCCCACTTTAGAAGAAGGAGAAGATGAAGGAAGGGCAGACGGGAAACTGCACTTGAGCACCTACTCTGTGCTTCGCATTTCCTCTGTCATTCAGTCCATCCTGTGAAGTGTGACTACAGGAAAAGAAACTGGAGCTGAGCGAGCTTATGACTCAGGCACCTCGTGCAGCAATCGGTATGTGAATTCAGGCCTAATGATTCCAAAGCCTCTTTCCCCACTGACCCACTGTGCCTGCTGAAACTGAAAGAGTCCAGTTAAGACCTGAACAGACTGTAAAATAATCTGAACAGAGACGATGTTCCTGGTGTGTTACTGTTCTTCGCTGGACAGAAAAAGTAACTCGTATTACAGTGCAGAAGTTTCCAGATGGCATTTTCTTTTCCAAGTTACTAAAATAGGTCAAGGCAAATAATAGTAATAATTAGAGGAGGAGGACAAGGAGACGGCCTTCAGAAAACCGGCTGTAAGATTACATCGGTCCTGAGATGTTTCATTAACCCCGAAAGAATCCAGAGAGGAAAAGAAGCCAGATTCACTCCTGATGGCCTTGATTTGAAATGTGATGCCCACAGTCACAGCCAAACACCTTCAGCACTGAAAACCAAGGCCCTGCACACAGACCCGCTCGCTCAAACCGCTTGCTCCTGTTCCCGCTGCTTCTTGAACTGAATAGCGCCTCGTTCACAACAGTACGGTTATCCAAATACCCCCCAAATGATCCTTAAAGAATACCCATGATCCCGAGCAGACACACTTTCTGAAAGTCAGTTTAAACATTCAACAGAGCGGTGACCACGCTGCTTTGACTCGCTTACCTGGGGCTGGGAAACGACAGGGCTGGCAGTGGACGCGACAGCCATGGCGACTCTGAGGTTGTGGGCAGTGACCAGGCCCCAGCACCACGGCGCCAGACACAGGAGTCAAATTCTTGTGGTTGCTGATTAGATCGCAGTCATGCTAGAAGCTGTGTACCTGGAAAAGAACAGGAAAAGCCACAGTGAGCCTAAGAGGACGACCACAGGGGAGTAAATTGCCATTTGCCAGAGGAAGCGAAGTCTCTCATACAAAGTGCCAACTACTAGGTTAATGGAAAGGGGAACCCAGGAGAGAGCGTCTAACGTCTCAACGCCATGACTTTTGTACCATGCGTCCAAATCAGGTTAAGTGGGTGTGTTTTCAGAAGTTTGGATCGAAATGGCATGCGAGCTAGACGTTTTGGGGTGGAAGTGTTAGGCTGTGAAGATGGGGAGAATTGGGCCAGGGTGAGAAGCCATCCTGCTGTTCAACAATAAGGGCACTGAGTGACCTGTCATCGAGAGGTTATATACAAAGGGCAAAGAGCATGACACCATCAAGCATCTTAGAGGTCACCCCTGCCTATTAGCAGCCGAAAAAACCGAGGCTGGAGAAGAGCAGGGACTAAAGTCATGTATTTCATTAATGGCAGAACCAGCCCTGAGACAATCCTGTCCCCAGTCCAGTAGGAAACTAAGAATATGAGTTCCAGGTTTACCTTTCCTCGGGGAACTTAGTCACCACTTCCAGGATTAAAGAAAGGAAAGGCTAGGGAACAGACTGAGGACCCTCAGAGGGAAGGGGGGTTGTGGGGGTGGGAAGAGATAAACCAAAGAACTTCTATGCATATATGCATAACCAATGGACACAGACAATACTGTGGGGAAGGCAAGAAGGGGTGGGAGCAGGGAGGAGGGGGGGTCAATGGGGAAGAGAAAATGGAAAAAAATACCCTTGGGCGAGGATAAAAAAAAAAATCGATGTGAGAAATATACCACATGGCGTCATTGCTGATAACAAAGAGGAGAGGTGGAGAAGTGCTAACTCACTTCATAAATGGGGAACCTGAGGCTTTGAGGGGTTGTGCAATGTACACAAAGTCATAACAGCCAGGAAATGAGGGCGCTGAGACCCGAATCGGGACCCACTCCAGGGCCCACGCACTTTCCGTAGAGCAGCTCTTCAAGGGAACACAAAGTAAGAGAACGTGCGGGAGTCTTATTAAGCACAAACTTCAGGTCGTCCTGAAGAAGGCAGGCTGGAAGGCAGGATGGCAGTCAGATGTCCTGCAGACCAACTCTTCCCCCAAACCCTGAAACAGAGACACTAGTGCCACTCTCATCTAGAAAAAACTTTCAGGGTGTGTCCCAAGTTTTGACATCCGTTACATGTTTTTGAGATATATAATAGATAAACAGATTATCGGTTTCATATCTCCAAAGAGAATAAGGAAGATTAACTGCCTTCCCCTAAAGCATTTAAGACATATCTAGTTTTGATGCTTTCGCTGAACCTCATAATGTAAGAAGATTATAAGAGCCCTTTACAGAATGATGTATTGTTTTTAACTCTGACAATACAAGGGCTAAGCAATACTCCCTCAGAGCTACATCAGCTCGGTCCTGGAAGTGGTCTTAAAATTACATTTATGAAACCTATTTACTTTCCAACTTATTTACAAAACTGAACAAATCATGGGGGAACTAGACACAATGACAAAAAAAAGACAATAGCCTCAGTAACATTGCCATTTGGTCTCTAGCTAAGCAAGCTGGTTTACTTTGACATATTAGTCCTCCACTTTCCCAGAGCCCCAGGCTGTCAACTACAGAGCTGCACAGAATTTTTAAAGAAATGCATCCATCCTGAACTCTTCCAAGTACCTGGACACTTGTCCTGCAGCTCTTCCCATCTGTCATCCACCTACCTCTCCACTTCCTTTGCTTGAGCTCCAAGACTGCTCCCGCCACAGGAAACCACCAGACCATGTGGGCTGGCCCCACTAACCCCAGCTACCCTGGGCTCCTTCCTGCTGCCCCCTTCTCTTCTTCTCTAGTTGTCCGCATTTTCCATTCTAGGCATCTCTTCTTATCTATCTCATTCTTCGCAAAACCACAAAACTACCTCTAATGCCCTCACTTGCAAAAGATGAGCTTTGTCACTTATTTATTTACTTGCCCATTCATTCATTCCCTATTGTCATTGGATATGAATCACCTCAATATCCCTCCCTACAATTCAAAATGGATACATAAAATATGACTTACAAATAAGAAAGCAGCAGAGGCTCATTCCTCTGTGCCGACTACTAGAGAAATAAGAATAGGAAATATCCTGAGTCAACCCTAGAGGCCAAAGATGAATCCCAGCTATTGCTTCAATTTCCAAAAATATGGGGGTGGGCACAAGTAGGCTTATAGTTGTTCATGTGGAAAACTTCATAATACAAGAATAAACAAGAATACAAGAATAAAATCTACTTCGCCTACTTACAACTATAGACCTACTTTTGCCAACTCCCGTATATGGAAAAATAAGAGGGACTAAGGCACATCATCACCTTCGTGTGAAGCTGCAAGTGCACGGACAGAAAATCAGCAAAGACCCCAGTCGGTTCATGCTGATACTCCCAGTTCGGGGAGATGAGGGCCGCAGGGAACAAAGCTGGAGAGAGGTGGAGAACATTTAAAATACACTCACTCCGCCCTGGCCAGTTTGGCTCAGGGGTTAGAGCGTCGGCCTGCGGTCTGGAGAGACCCGGGTTCGGTTCCCGCTAAGGGAACGTACTTTGGTTGCAGTTTGTCCCCGGCCCTGGTTGGTCGTGCGGATGGCAGCCACTCGATGTGTCCCTTCACATCGATGTTTCTGTCTGTCTCTCCCTCCCACTCTATCTGTACAAAAAATGGAAAAATATCCTCGGGTGAGGATAAAATACACTCACTCCCATTTGTGGAATATAATGAACCTAATAATCTGAGGAATGGGGTAGTCCCAGAGACGTGGAAGTGGGGTACAGACTGACAATCCCCAGAAGAGGGAGTAGTGGGGGAGAGATAAACCACAGAACTTATATGCATGTATGCATGAACAATGGGCATGGACCACAAAGCTGGGGTCAGGGCCGGGAAGGAGGGGGAGGGGAGAATCAGTTGGGGGAAAAGGAGAAACATCTATTACAAAAATAAATTAATTAAAAAATAAAAATATATAAAAAATACACTCACTCCTTAAAAGGGGTCCCTGGCTCCAACTGAGCAAGTCTCTGGCTGCATTTGCTTCTACTGTATATGTGGCCATGATGACTGCATAAGAAAACACGTCGGGGGGGGGGGAAAAACACGACCAGCTGGCTCCTGACACGGGCAGCCATGCCAGTGACAATAACCTTGCTCATTACTGAGTGCCACACCAAATACCTAAAAGAAAGTCTGGTTCGGAGGCAGACTTCACTTTGATTACTCCTGCAGCTGATGCTGGCTCCCTCCCTGGGTCTCACAGGAAGATGAATTTCTAATTTGCAAATTAATCTTCAATAAATCTAACCTTTTCTCTTCATCTGGACTTGAGTCAAACAGTGACTCATTTCAGTCTCGAAAGAACACAGGGCAGTACCCGACAATGAATATGCATAGACTTTTCTCTCCAAGGATAAGCAACAGAGAAAAATCCTAATCCCCCAAGCAAATGAAAAATACGATGGTTCAAGAGAAGGGAAGACTAGAATCAGAGCAAATATTTACTTAAGAAATAGGTGTACTACATAAAAGGAAACTTTGAAAATATATATGAGATCAGAGGTGAGTCTGAATTAACCAAAAAAAAAGATTCAGAATGATAAACTTAAATGAAGTCAGGTGATAAAACAGACAACAGAATAAAAAATAAAGCAGAAAACAGTATCAGTGAAACCGAAGATACCCAGAGCTCAGAGAAGGGGAGGGAACTAACTGCCTGATCAGGATTTGAAAGCTTCCATCGCCAAACAGAACAGAGGAACAAAAAGTACTCAAGGGGGAAAGAAGAAACCATCAGTGCTGAAATCTGAAAAGGACAAATTTATTCTCAACATTTTAGAAGTGTTGCACATATGTCATTTATATCAAATAAGAAAGAATTTCAGACTTGAAATTTGCTGAGAGAGCGCTATTGTCTGGCAGAAACAAACACACACACAAACAACTCTGAACCCAAACGGGGAAGAATAAAACAATGAGCCACAGGAAGACCGGTGCCACAGCCTAGCTTTCTTAGTATCTCTTCTCCCTACCAGAGCTCAACAGCCTCTGAAGCCAGCCTTCGATCATCCGAGGCTTGAGACTGGAAGATTCTTCTCGCCGGAATCCAAACAGATGAAAAGACTTAAAAATAGTTAACATCAGGAGGAAAACGCTGACCCATTGAAACAAAAACAAAATGCTTAAAAATCGATCATTTGAAACTCAGTAGAAGGACTGGAATGTAAAGTTCCAAATGTAAACATCCCAAATGGAGAACAAAAAAACAAAGTGAGAAAGCTCGAGGACTAGTCCAGGAGATCCAACAGCCAAATACAAGCAATTCTAGAATAAAAGGATAAAGGGGGTGGGGGAAGGGAGGGTAAAACAAATACCTAACTCAAACATTTTCTACAGCGGGAAAGTCACGTTGGTTGAATGTAAAGGCCCAAGAACTGCCTACCTGCCCACTTCAGTGACTTTAATACACCCACATAAAGTGCACCATCATGAGGTTTCTTTCTCTCTTTGTTTCTTTTTACACTAGATATTTTTAAAAATCCAATGTGCTCTAAGAAAGTATGTTGGCGGAGGAGCTCTGAAACAAAGGATGGGAACCTGTGTTCGGACTCTCAACAGCCGCCTGGAAGCTGAGGGACAAACAAGCAGTAAGGAAAGTGGTTTACAACCTGGGCTACTGGTGGATGTTCTTCAGCAAGACAGGAGGACACGAAGAAAAAGGCAGGCATGTGATTCAGGGACAGGAAGTCAAGACAGGAGAAGAACAAAGGGGCTGGCTGGCCTAACTGTGCAAGGAGACCCGTGGACAACAGGTAAGAAGACGTGCAAAGTGGCGCTGACAAGATACCTGTGCTTCTGGAGACACAGGGGTGGGCAAAAGTGGGTCTTAGTTATTCGTAGGGAAATTATTCCATAATGAAGAAGTAATAATACAAGAACGGA